TGGTCATATACCTAGAAAGCCCTAGAGACTCATCCAAAAAGCTCCTAGATATGGTAAAAGAATTCTGTAAGGTTTCAGGATGCAAAATCAGTGTACGAAAATCAGTAGCACTGCTATACACCAACAATGACCAAACTGGGACTCAAATCAAGAATTCAATCCCTTTTACAACAACTGTAAAATAAATAAATAAATGAAATACTTCGGATATATGTAACCAAGGAAGTGGAGATCTCTACAAGGAAAACTACAGAACACTGCAGAAAGAAATCATAGACAACACAAACAAATAGAAACACATCTCATGTTCATGGATAGGTAGAATTAATATTGCGAAAATGACCATACTGCCAAAGTAATCTATGGATTCAATGCACTTCCCACCAAATACCATCATCATTCTTCAAAGAAGTAGAAAAAAAAATCCTAAAATTTATATGGAACCAAAAAAGAGCCCAGATAGTCAAAGCAAGACTAAGTAAAATGAACAAATCTGGAGGCATCACATTACCTGATTTCAAACTATACTATAAGGCTATAGTTACCAAACAGCATGGTACTGGTATAAAAAATAGGGACATACACCAATGGAACAGAATAGAGAACCCAGATGTCAAGCCAAATACTTAAAGCTAACTATCTTCAACAAAGAAAACAAAAGTAAGAAGTGGGGAAAGGGCACCCTATTCAACAAATGGCCTTGGGATAAATGGTAAGCCACATGGAGAAGAATGGAACTGGATCGTCATCTCTAACCTTATATAAAAATCAACTCAAGAGGAACCAAAGACTTAAATCTAAGACCTGAAACTATAAAAAGTCTAGAAGATAACATAAAAAAAAACTCTTCCAGATGTTGGCTTAGGCAAAGAATTCATGTCCAAGAACCCAAAAGCAAATGCAACAAAACCAAAAATAAGTAGATGGGACCTAATTAAACTACAAAGTTTCTGCACAGCAAAAGAAATAATCAGCTGAGTAAACAGACAAACCACAGAGTGGGCAAAAATGCCCCTAAATGACTAATATCCAGAATCCATAAGGAACTCAAACAAATCAGCAAGCAAAAAACAATCACATCAAAAAGTGGGCAAAGGACATGAGTAGACAATTCTCCAAAGAAGATATATGAATGGCTGAGAAACATATTTTTAAAATGCTCAACATCACTAATTATTTAAAAACTGCAAATTTAAACCACAATGAGATACCACCTTACTCCTGCAAGAAGGGCCATGATTTAAAAATGCAAAAATAATAGATGTTGACATACATGTGGTGAAAGAGAACTATTACACTGCTGGTGGGAATGTAAGCTAGTACAACTACTACAGAAAACAGTTTGGAGATTTCCCAAAGAAATAAAAGTAGAACCAGCATTTGATCCAGCAATCCCACTACAGGATATCTACCCAGAGAAACAGAAGTCATTATATAAGGACGACATTTGCACATGCATGTTTATAGCAGCACAATTTGCAATTGCAAAAATACAGAACCAGCCTAAATTCTCATCAACCAACAAGTGAATAAAGAAAACATGATACACACACACACACACACACACACACACACACTCCCCATGGAATACCACTCAGCCATAAAAACAAATGAAATAATGGCATTTATAGCAACCTGAATGGAATTGGAGGCCATTGTTCTAAGTAAAGTAATTCAGAAATGGAAAAACAAACATCATATGTTCTAACTTAGAAGTGGAAGCTAAGGTATGAGGATGCAAAGGCCTAGGAATGAAATAATAGGCTTTGAAAACATGTGGGAAAGGGTGGGAGAGAGATGAGGAATAAAAGACTAAACATTGAGTACAGTCTACACCACTTGGGTAACAGGTGCACCAAAACCTCAGAAATTTGCACTAAAGAACTTATCCATATAACCAAAAACCACCTGTTCCCCAAAAACTACCGAAATAAAACAAAAAATTAAAAAAATAAAAAGAATATATAGCAATGTTTTCAAAAAGACAATGAGTGAATAAATCTAAAAAATATTCAGAAATTACTATTTTCATAGTAAATAAATATTTGAGAGTATTTCTAGTACAATTTTGATATTTTTAAAAATATTGTTTTTTAATCTCTCAAAATAATGTTTTCAGAAATTAAAAAAGCTAAAAAATCTTAGAGAAGTATAATATAGTCGGGATTATTTATGTGAGATTGTGTGTGTATTAGTCCATGTTCATGCTGCTGATAAAGATATACCCAAGACTGGGAAGGAAAAGATGTTTAATGGACTTACAGTTTCACATGGCTGTGGGGCCCTCATAAATGTGGGAGAAGGCAAGGAAAAGCAAGTCATGTATCACTGGATGGTGGCAGGGAAAGAGAGAGCTTGTGCAGGGAAACTCCCATTCTCATGATGGGATGAAACTCAGATCTCATGAAACTTATTCACTACCATGAGACCAGCACAGAAAACATCCGCCCCCATGGTTCAATTACCTCCCACTGGGTTCCTCCCATGACATGTAAGAATTTGGGAATTACAATTCAAGATAAGATTTTGGTGGGGACACATTCAAATGACATCCGTGTGAAACTAAAACCTTAATGTAAATACTCAACATTATCTAGTGATGGTTAAATACAGGATACATATACCTGCTAAACATAAGTGAACCTTGAAAACATGTTTTGTGAAAGAAGTCAGTAAGAAGAGAGCATATACTATATGATTCCATTTACAGCTGACCCCTGAACTCCCTAGGTCCACTCATAGAGAGGTTATTTTCAATAGAAGTTACACCAAGTGCACCTGTCCCTCCTGCCTCCCTTTTCCCCTCCTCCACCTCTGCCACCCCAGAGACAGCAAGACCAACTCCTTTTCTCTCCTCCTCAGCCTACTCAAGGTGAAGACAATTGGCTGAAGACCTTTACGATGATTCATTTCCATCTAATGAACAGTAATTATGTTTTTCTTCCTTATCTTAACATTTTTTCTGGCTTGCTTTATTGTAAGATGATAGTATATAAATAATGTAACATACAAATATGTTTATGTTATCAGTAAAGTTTCCAGTCAACAGTGAGCTGTTAGTACTTAAGTTTTGGGTGAGCCAAAAGTTATATACAGATTTTCAACTGTATGGGAGATTGACACCCATAACCTCCACATTGTTCAAGAATCAATCATATATAAAATGTCCAGACTAGGCAAATCCACAGAGACAGAAAGTAAATTAGTGATGCCAGGGACTCAGAGCCAGGGACAGGGGCTTCAGGGGTAGGAACAATATGAGGGAACTAGAATAACTGCTGATGGGTAGAGGTTTCTTTTTAGGATGTTGAAAATGCTCTATAATTGATCATGGCAACAATTGTCTAAACTCATCAAATTTACTAAAGGCCATTGAATCACGCATTTTCAATGGTGAATTGTATAGTATGTAATTACATAACAATAAAGCTATCATATTTAAAAAAACATGAGCTTTGAAATGTGAATTTCTGCTATAAATAAGGATAAAAAGCCTTGTATCAGGACCCTTACTAGTAATGGTCAATGGATTTTCTTTTCAAATATTCCTGGATTAGTCACACAGATCAGAATTTCTAATATTTAGAATTTATGTTTTACAAAGGAAGTGACTATCTTATGTACTGTCCCTGGGAAGGTGAAGCGGAACAGTGGATGTGATTATCTAAATCACCAGCGCAAATATCTCCCTACTCCATTGAGAAGGGCTATGGATCTCCTGCCACCCAGGGAAAAAAAACGATTCAGCATCTGCATTGAACAGATTGTCCACTTCAGATCGATCAGAACCACCAAGCTACTGTTCACATCTCTGGCTAACCCTATTTGCTGCTAAATATCACTGTGTTTCTAGGTCCTCAGACACTTGTCAATATGCTAACACCACATCCTGGCAAGTGTTGGACCCTCTACCTGCCCCCCTCGTTATACTTAGGAAAAGAGGCATTTACAATGTAACACACAACTGAAATAAACCTGAAAAAGTTAACATGGCTGACATTCTATTTATGGCAGAGAATTATGTCTCAATAATACAAAATAAAATTATATTAAGTACTCACGAGCAAAGCCAGGAGCTGGTTTTACTTACCCAGCGACACCCTGTCTCCAATCCAACCTAGGCCACAGGTGACAGGGAGCAGCTCACCAAAGTCAGTTTCCTTCCTCTTGACAAATTTCACAGGCATCATCTGTTTCCTTAAAGAGTTAGGGAAGCCAGGCCACAGAGGGCATGAGCGATGAATTTACAGTTTTATGAAACAAGAAATAAAGGCTCCTGCCTGACTTCATTTAACAAGAAGGCAATTTTACAAAGCACTCAGTTCATGCCTACATGTTCGCCATACTTTAATTCTTTGGGTTAATCTATATAAATCTAATGGTAGATTTTAAAATAGATGGAGAGACAGACAAGAGACATAAATAAATTAATAAATAAAAGTTTGTAGAAAGCATAGCAAGAGTGAAATGCAAGATCCGTCGAGAATCAACCATCCAAAACCAGCACTGCTCATGTCACTGACTCCTGGGGAGAAGAGATGTGTGTCAAAGCCCGTACATGTCAAATGTACTAGGACCCATCACTCCTTTCTTAGCAAGAAGAGAATATTCAGCATTCCCCTAAACTAAGTCACTTGTCTGGTGATCCTGGCAGCAAATGTCAGAAATTGTTGCCCTTCACTTTATCTGTCACTGACACTTGACCATAGTGTTTTTTAATTCTTCACCAGAGAAAGGAGAAAGTCAACTTAGTGGAGCAGATGGGGCTGTCAGGGGAGTGACGGGAAATGATACACTTTTTGAAAATGATGGATTGTCCCAACTGAGTCCATGCACTCCCTGTTCAGAACACTTGGGACAGGGCATTATTATCCTAGCATGATTCAGAGAGGGCTCACTCTTGCAATTAACATGGAAGCAAGCTGAAAGCCTATGACATTCCATCCAGGGGAGACACATCTGACTGTGCCCACTCAGGAGTCTGCTGTTGTCTGAATAAGGATCCGTTCATTTCTGCGACCTGAAAGCTGTGACCGGTAAGCTGTCTGTGGAAGGCAAATGGGAGCTTCGATTGTCACTGAGTTGGGTCACATTTTGCAAACTTCCGACGGTATGCAGTGGAGGAAAAATAGAGATTCCTCACCATTGCAATGCACTCTTTGGAAATTTAAGAAGGTAGGGGAAAAACACAGAGGATCCATGATTTTCCATGAAGACTGAGCAGGAGTAAGGACAATGCCCACATGCCTTAAACTTTATTTTTTCCCTCAGTATAAATCAGTGCCAAACAAAGACTAGAGAAAGCAATTGCCGCTGAGCCCTGACAGAGCACCCTCTGTGAGCTGCCATGAGCAGAAAATGAAGGTTGTAAATGATTCCATTAGATAAACAAGTGCACCCCAGTTTGAGAGCATGAATTGCACAAAAGGTATATTTTGATCAGGCTGCCCCATTAAAGACGCTGTGTTCTCAGACCGCAATTTGTCCCCTAGTTGGTAGGGAAAGATACAGGCAAAGAAAAACGAGGGAGCACTTACACCATTGATGTTGCAGGATTAACAATAGATTGTGCTTAGAAACGGTGAGCAGTAATGGGCTTGGGTCCTTGGAGTGCTCTCAAGTCATGAGCATCATTTCTATAAGAGAGTCCCCCAGGTTGTATGTCACCAAGTGTCCCACCTATGACCACAGACTCTGCTTACCACATCTCTAGACATTCTGAAAAGGACAAAAAGAAAATGAGCTGAAAGAAGCAACAATTATTCTTGACATTTTAGAATGCACCTTTGCCACGTTCAGAATATTCTGTCACAGGCTTTAAAATGAGAACTATTATAGGCGAAAGTCCGGGCAGAACTCTCCTCTTGAAAGAGAGCTCACCTGTATCCAGCCTTGCCTCAAATTGAAACAGGTTTTAAGGACTGATTGAATGGTCTTCATTTCAATGTAGTGAAAGACATTAGTAACTCCTTCTAGCTTTATGCTGGTTAACTTAGGATTAAGAAGTGAAATGGAGAAATACAAACTTTTTGTTAAGAGACTAGAAAGAAACAGGTCGCTCAGGCTAGCTCTAGGTGCAAGCTTATTAATGATATATCTTCTTTATACGTGACTTCTTCAAGTTTTATTCAATGGTCATATGTTACTTTCATATTTTTAAAAAGTTGTCAAAAAAAGAAAAACAAAGAAAACTGTTACTATTACTCTTTAATTTGCAAAAGGAATAGAAAAAAGGCAAAATACAGTTAATGGTGACTGTTGGCTTTTTTCTTTTTCTTTTTCTTTTTTTGGCTTCTGAATGTTCACTTGCTCCAGCACCACCTGTTTATCTATCTTATGTTATTTTATTTTACTTTATTTTATTTTAAACAGGGCCTCACTCTATCACCCAGGCTGGAGTGCAGTGGCACAATCATACCTCACTGCGGCCTCAAATTTCTGGGCTCAGCCTCTCGCCTCAGTTCCCCAAGTAGCTGAGACTATAGGCACATGCTTCCATGCCTGACTACTTTTTAAATTTTTTGTAGAGATGGAGTATCATTATGTTGCCCCGGCTGGTCTTGAACTCATCAACTCAAGCAATCCTTCTGCCTCCGCTTCCCAAAGTGCTGGGATTATAGGCATGAGTCACCATGCCTAGCCATGGTGATTTGCTTTGACAGGTAGGTAAGTGACACTGATGTGTTTTTTTCTTTCAACTCTTCTGTAATTTTCAAATTTTCTACAAAGAACAAATATTTTAATTAAAAATAGTTCAAGGAGCAATGGAAATTTGGAAAGAAAATATTGCCTTATTCAATTTTAATTGCCTGGAAATGTAGTTAAGAGACTGTCGTGTTTTTTTTTTTTTTTTTTTTTTTTTTGAGATTCTCCTGCCTCAGCCTCCTGAGTACCTGGGATTACAGGCATGCACCACCATGCCCAGCTAATTTTTTGTATTTTTAGTAGAGACGGGATTTCACCATGTTGACCAGGATGGTCTCAATCTCTTGACCTCATGATCCACCTGCCTCAGCCTCCCAAAGTGCTGAGATTACAGGCTTGAGCCACCGCGCCCGGCCGAGACTGTCATTTCTAATTGGAAAAAGGATGAGCAAACTGGTCCCAAGATGCTTCTTGAGGACAAATGACAAGGACTAGGAAACTTCTACCTGCAGCCAGCGGTGGCTCAGGCAGATCTTACAGTCACCACGCAGTGTGCATTTGAAGGCCTCCAAAAGCCCTGAACTCCAAAACCTCTTTTCTTTCCTAAAAGAACACCCATACCAGCCTCTTGATGTATCTGATGTTATTGCCATTTCGGTCATTTACTTCTGCATTGCCTATGAATGTGTTCTCCAGAACTGCCCTTCATAAAATGTAAATGTCCTTGGGAAGGGGATTAGCGGCCACAGGCAATTCAGAAAGATTAAAGGTGCTGCCAGAACGTTTTTCCATACTGTTCAAAATAATCTCTTCAGTGATCAGAATCATAACTGATCAAGGCAGTGGCAAGGAGCTTTGTTTTTGTCACCTCTGATGACCATCATTCCGTGCATAGGACGGTCATTCGGAAATTCCGCACTGTGAATGGCCACCGCTGCCAAGTTAGGAAAGCCCCATGAAAGCAAGACGTGGCTAGTCCTTCATCCAGCCAAAGAGGTCGAAGTAGTTCTGGAAACTTTGGTGCTGGTCATGGAGGTGGTTTCGGTGGGAATGACAACTTTTGTCATGGAGGAAACTTCAGTGGTCGTGGTGGCTTTGGTGGCAGCCATGGTGGTGGTGGATATGGTGGCAATGGGAATGGCTATAACGGATTTGGTAATGATGGAAGTAATTCTGGGGGTGGTGGAAGCTACAATGATTTTGGCAATGACAATAATCAGACTTCAAATTTTGGACCCATGAAAGGAGGAAACTTTTGAGGCAGAAGCTCTGGTCCCTATGGTAGTAGAGGCCAATACTTTACCAAACTACAAAAGTAAGGTGACTATGGCGGTTCTAGCAGCAGTAGCTATGGCAGTGGCAGGAGATTTTAATGAGGAAACATAGCTTAGCAGGAGAGGAGAGCCAGAGAAATGACAGGGAAGCTAGAGGTTACAACCCACTCGTGAACTCAGCCAAGCACAGTGGTGGCAGGGCCCAGCTGCTACAAAGAAGACATGTTTTAGACAAATAGTCATGTTTATGAGCAAAAAACTCAAGGACTGTATTTGTAACTAATTATATAACAGGTTATTTTAGTCTCTGTTCTGTGGAAAATATAAAACATTCCAACAAAGGGTTTTCATGTAGATTTTGTTTTTGCACCCATGCTGTTGATTGCTAAATGTAATAGTCTAATCGTGAAGCTGAATAAATGTCTTTTTTTTAATGTGCTGTGTAAAGTTAGTCTACTCTGAAGCCATCTCAGTAAATTTCCCTCAACAGTGTAAAGTTAGAATTCCTTCAGGGTGATGACAGGTTCTATTTGGAATTTATATACAATCTGCTTGGGTGGAGAAGCTGTTGTCTTCAGAAACCTTGGTGTAGTTGAACTGATAGTTAGTGTTGTGAGCTGAAGTTCACCATTAAAGGGATTCCCCAGGCAAAATCATGAAATTCTTTATTATAAAAATTATTGTTGGCACATTGTACACAATATATCTAAATTGAATAATGGTACCAGATAAAATTATAGATGGGAATGAAGCTTGTGTGATCAGTAAATGATTTAATTCTCTTGAAAAAAATAAATCAATTATATAAAATGAAGGAGTGGACTCTGAATTCCTTATGAGCCTGCGTGCATGTGAATTCCATCAGCATGAGTTCTCAGTTTAGATGGCTGCCGCCTAGAAACAGTGCCAAGGGAATGGACAACGAGATGGACATATATTCATGGAGGCATCGAAGGGAAAGGAAAAATTCTGATGCCTGAGATATTTCAGAGGAGTCAGATCAGCCCAAGTGACCTGGGCACTGTCGTGTGTCCCAAGAGCAGAGCAGCTCCCCAAAGAAAAACTCTATCCACTTCACAGCTTTTCCTAAATTGGTCTTAATTCTGAATCAAGAGTCTAGTTCCATTTTTACTGTCAGGACACCATCATATTATGTGTGGATTTTTTAAATGACATTTTCCAGAGGAATGATTGAGAGTGATAACTCTGTTAATATTCTTGCAAAATGGGGGTCTTAAAAATCCATGGTCATTCTCCCATGTTTACATAAACAGGAGCAATGGAAACTTCTTTCTCATCACAAATTCATCACAAATGAGAGGGGAAAGCATACACATAACTAGTATGCTTTTCTGTAATGATAAAGGAAAGGTTCATTTTTTTTCTCCTCCACCGGAAACAAGGAAACTTATTAATGAAGAAGGAGGAAGGCAGTACCAGCTTAAACAGGAATGAATCAAAGGCAGAAGAAAGAAATCAGGTGTTTTCCTGCCGAATGATTTTATTTTCTTAGGAAAAAAGTGTTTTCATACTTTGAATGCATTTTATGCTGCTACACAATTATCTTTCTAGTTTTTATTTATATGAATGAAATGACATTCTATGGATCAATATGGCATAAAATTAATCCAGCAGCTTTTCACTACAGACCCCTCTGTGTTGGATTTAGATTCAGTCTCATACTGCCTGAATGACAACATGCTTACCCCATCCATAAAGAGGAACTTGTTCTAAAATTAAAGGTTTGCTTTTACCAAGTCTCCCTTTTCATTACCAAGTTTCCTACCCTGATTTGTCACAGTGCCGCTGGCTAGACTTCTCTCTAACTTGACGAACTGAATGAGAAGATTACTCTGTGGAAACTGAAAGCCTAAAATAAATTGAGATGATTCATTCTGGAGCCCTTTGCTATTTTAAGATTTTCGGACAATCTTCCTGGCATTCAGAAGTGAAAAACGAGCCTAACTTGGCACCTTGATTTGTTAACTCGGAGAGATCCAGTCAGGCCTGCACTGAATTCCTGTGGAACTCAATGATGCCAAGGTGATTAAGAGGGAAAAAGTCGCCACCTCATTGCTACAGTTTGTCAATTTGTCATGTGTTTTTTGAAATAGCTGGCATGGCAATTTGGTTAAAGGATTCCCAAAATAGATCACATTAAGATTAGCTTAACAGATTCAATTAAGTGTAATAGGATCGGCAACTCATGGAGCCGGAAGTAAAATTATTTTTGCTATAAGTAAGCCAACTATTCCTCTGGAAGTGAAGTCTAAATAATAGATGCATAAACACTACAAGGTCAAGTCATAGCTAGTCTTTAAAAAGTAAACAATTGACCAATCACTTATAGCATGTGCCTTCTGAGTAGTTTTTCCAGCAGTGTTGATGAATTCAGACTGTTTTATACACATTGTCATCAATATCTTCTCTTGACAAACTCTAAATATTTGTGGCCGGGAGCAGTGGCTCAAGCCTGTAATCCCAGCACTTTGGGAGGCCGAGGTGGGTGGATCACGAGGTCAAGAGATCGAGACCATCCTGGTCAACATGGTGAAACCCCGTCTCTACTAAAAATACAAAAAATTAGCTGGGCATGGTGGCGCATGCCTGTAATCCCAGCTACTCAGGAGGCTGAGGCAGGAGAATTGCCTGAACCCAGGAGGCGGAGGTTGCGGTGAGCCGAGATGGCGCCATTGCACTCCAGCCTGGGTAACAAGAGCGAAACTCCGTCTCAAAAAAAAAAAAAAATTGTAATAAAACAAGACCTAGTATGAGATACTAGCCACCGAGAATTAACCACCGCAGGCACTGACCCAGAGACGTGGGCTGTGCCTCCATCTTGTGGGAAAACACAAGTTTGACAGACCGCAGGCATGACAGTAAGCTAGTAAACCTGGGAGCCCAAACCTCAAAGTAAACAGCGTGATTTAAGTGACATATTATGACGAGGGCACAACCATCTGAACATAACCAGCACTGAACTTTTTAAAAATATTTGTCTTTATGCAAGCAATCTCTATGTGTTAGTCTGTTTCACATTGCTATAAAAAATATCTGAGACTGGGTAATTTATAAAGAAAAGAGGTTTATTTGGCTTATGGTTCTGCAGGTGGTCCAAGAAGCATGGCATCAGCATGTGGGCTTCAGGGAGCTTCCATTCGTGGCCGAAGGTGAAGGGGAGCAGGCATCACATGGCAAGAGAGGAGTAAGAGTGAGCGGAAGAAGGCTCTTTGTAACTATCAGATTTCACAGGCACTAATAGCGGGAAAACTCACTCATTACTGCAAGGATGGCACCAAAGTGGTCATGAGATCCGGCCCCACAACCCAAACAACACCTCTCTCTAGATCTCAGCTCCAACAGAGGGATCAAATTTTGTTGGGGAAAGCAGTAAAGAAGAAAGAACTTACAGAGGGCTCCAGATATTGGTTATGAGTAACATATAACCTGGGAACAAGAAACCTCAGCAAACTGCGGGAGGCCTCTGGGGAGGCAAACTTCTCCGTGCCTCACGTTCTGGTGCAGGGTGACCCGGCTCTGTTACCATAAACACTGTGCTCAAGGACGTAAAACCCCTCTGAAGCACTATCACCTAGCCAGATTTGTAGGCTCCTTGTAAGGCCCGCATCCCACCAGCTGCACATAGATAATAGGCTAAAGATAATGACATGTTCTTGCTTTGTGAAACTCCCAAACCACCACTGTTATCAATCTTTAGAATGACACACCAATTTCGGCTCACTGATTCAGTTCCAGCTCACTGATTCACCCCACCATCATGTCACCCTCTCCCTGCCATCAGTCCACCCCTACCCTATAGATTATAACCAATAAATAGTGTGAGAGATCAGAGCTCAGGGTCTTCACTGCCTCCACTACAAGTGATGGCCCTCTTGTCTCACTTTCATTCTTAATCTGTCTTTTTTCTCATTCCTTTGTCACCACCGAACACGGGGTACCCATGGGTGATATGGGGGCTGGTTCCCTACAAAATTTCAACATGAGATTTGGAGGGGGCAGATATCCAAACCATCACATTCTGTTTCTACAAAGTATATTCAAAATATCTCTAAGCCAAAACCTAGGTTGGTTCTCTCAACACTAATAACAGTATAGCTAATGCCTATTCAGTACCTACATGTGCCAGATACCCTTCTTGGCAATTTATATATATTAAGTCATTTAACTCAAACTAACTCCATCTGTATTATTTCAACCAAATTCCGGTGCTTGCTTGAACGTCAAGAATATGGTCTTTAAGCAAAAGGGTTCCTTATCCTAGGCCCTGCCCTTCCTTTAAAAGACCTCAGTCTACCCCTTCTCCAGCCATGCCCTTCCTATTTTCATAGTGCCTAAAGAACCAAGAGAATAAGCCCACAGAAGCCCACACTTCTAGACGCAATCCTAGCACCTGAGACCTGAGACTCTCTACCTACACATCACAGAGCCTGTTTCCCAGACCTGAGCAGGCCTGTTCCCTTGGAGCTGATAGTTGCTCAATGGACGTACTGAAATGGATATGAATAAATAAATTAATTGATTGATTAGCACACAAATGTTAGTGCATGAGTTTTTAAGAATCTCTTGTGATTTTGTGATTGCCAAGAGAATTTTTTTTTTTTTTTTGGCCTCCTGATTTCTTATCTTTTTGGGGGAAAAATGAGGCTGACAGTTAAATTCCAGTAAGGCAAGGTGTCCTGCAAATTACAATAAAAAAGGTAGCACTCAATGGAAACAGTTTGTGATAGTGGCATTTTGTCTGAGGATTTTAAATTCTTTAAAAAAAAGCTGATTAAAAAAATGTTGAATTCTTAAATACTTGAATCTTTACAGAGAAGGGATCCGCTTCCAATAACTTTCATTACACTTTTCAAAAAATATTCCCAGCAATTTCAGTTAGCAGACAGAATAATTAACTGAATCTCTAAATACCTTTCTGTTCTTTGGCCTCGTGTGGTAGATGCAATATTTCATCTCTTAGTCATTTCAGCCAGGGTCCTTCCTGATTGTTTTATGACTTAATTACAATGATTACGTCATGTTTATACACTGTGCCTGCCCAGCACAGTGCAAGCTTTTATGTCATACCCTGAGCACGAGAAGAACCAATGGGTATGCTTGTTGGATACAAAATCAATTAATGGGCTGCAACTATGAAGCAGGAAGCTTTTCCAAGAAAACATATAACATCATTAGTTGAGGAGGCTGTATCTCATACAGCAATACTAGGTGTCTGCTTTTCAACCAAGAGATTTCAAACAGACCAAATAGATCTTTTAGTCTTCATTTAAGGAAAGCTCAGGGTGCAGAAGCCAGCATCCCTTGTTTTTTCTCATCACTATCGTAAGCAGTAGCAATCTAGTAGGGGGAAAAAGGCCAGGAGAGTATTATGAAACTAGCTGCACTCAAATATAAAAAATGGATTTGTTTTTTTCCTTCTTGGATTTGCTTCAAACCTCGGAGGCAACCAGCTAACTTATATATGCCCCAGCTTAGACCCAGATTCAAGACTTCCCTGTCCTAAGTTGCTGGAAAGACTATCACAGCACATTTTAGAGCAGGGCTTCTCAACTGGGAGAGATTCTACATGC